ATATGGTACAAATTATGAAAAATGTTTATATTGGTACTAAGTATCCTATTGATTCATAGAGGAGATGCAGCTCAATTTCAAAGATGTTAAAATGAAACTATAAGCATGTCCCTTCGAATCGATGAAATATGTTAATGGCATAGATGGTATCAGAATATCCTCGATAGTGAAGTGAGGATATTATCTTACAAAACTTTTGTTTTAATTTATACATATACAGGATGTTTTTTTCCTCCAGGGCAGGATCATGTTAAATCATTTGGATCTGGTTTCATAAACGTTTAGAAAACCTAGAATTGATCCATTAGATTCTATTGTCTGCAGAAGTGATCATGTCAATATTAGCTACTCTTTATTTCACAAAGGTATAGCATCTACTCTAAAGCAGATACTGCTCCAGAAGCAGCAGTAAACAAAACACATCACCCGCCCCCCCGTGTAATGTTATGGCTTGGGTTTAGATGTCCCCCGAAAAGCCTCATGCAGATGCAGTAGGGCTACTAAGGAGCTGCTGAATCTACAGCGTGTCACTGATTTCACGGGGGAGGTGTGCTGGGCCCAAGGGCACCAGGATTAAGGGTGTGAGTGCCACCCGCCCTAAGTAGTCTGAATGAGATAAAAGGGGCAGAAAGACGCCCTTCAGGCCCTTTGTTGCTTTAGCTGCCTGGTGGATGCCATGAACTGTTTCTCCTCTTCGGCCCGCTCCCGTGTGCCACCCTGCCTTGCAGCCAGCTGATTGTGGACTGGAACCGCGACAGACTGTGAGCTAAAGGAACCCTTTCCCTCTTGACGTTGGGTGATAGATATTTTGTCTCAGCAACAAGAGAAGCATAACTGACACACGTGTCCAGTCTAGAGACATAGAAAAGCAGTAGGCTGCGTTTTACATGTTGCATGGTAGGCAGTAATGCATGCAAAGTTTAAGAAGAAGCATTGTGGGGGGAATAGAGCCCATGAGGGGAGCTCGTGAGTGTAGGTAGTGTGGTCAGGGGAGACTCGGTGAGAAGGTAACCGGGACCTGAGGCAGGCTGCGAGCCGGCACGGGGGTCATCCGGACAGAGGACATCCGAGGCAGGGGCCTGGTGTGTTCCTCATCACGGAGACTGTGGCAGCAGGGGGGTGACTGAGAGGCGGGAAAGATGAGGACCACAACAGACAAAGTACGCGGTCCGGGGCTCTCCTGGACATTTTCGAATGACTGGCATTTCCTGGGAAGGAGATGGAAAGTCGCTGGCGATTCATGAGCCAGAGAGTCAGTGCCAGCCCTCCTATGCATTTGTGCGTGCACGTACAGGTAATATATACTGTCTTTTTGCTCTCTATATTTAGCACTATTGTTTTTTAAGTTTTGTTGCAGATATTTTTAATTGACAAATGATACAGACTGAGGATCTCTATCAAAATGCTTGGAGCCAGAAATATTTTGGAGTTCGGGATGATATTTTTGTGGAATATGTGCATATACTAATAAGAAACCTCGGATGGAATACACATCCAAACATGAAATTTGCTTATATTTAATGTATGCCTTATATAAATATCCTGAAGGCAATGTTATATAATATTTTCACCTGCTTTGGGAAGCCAGTTGTGGACTTTTCCACTCGTGGAATTATATCAGTGCTGAAATTTCTGATTTTAGAGCATTTTAGTTGTTGAACTTTGGGGTTAACGATGCTCAGTTTGATTTATGGTATAGAAACCTGCATACACCATGGAATGATCAAGTCATCAGTTAGTATTCAGTATTTATCATCTCGTTTCAGCACTGGAATGGCCATGGGGAGAACTGACAATGGTTTTGTTGTTTTGTGTTTTGTTTCAGTACTATGCATTGAACACAGGGCTTAAGGGAAATGCTCTGACACTAATGAAAAGGTTAACACTAGAAATGCCGCAGTGACTCACGGAGAGAACATGGTGTTTTCCGTAGGGAGGTGACAGGAGGGAGAAGGGGGTAGTTAGGCTCCAGATACATCTAGAAAACAGGCAAACAGGATTTGCTCATTGATCACTTGTAGAATGGGAAGGAAAGGCTGGCAAAGAATGACTCAAAAGTTTGTGGATTGAGAAATTTTATAGTCAGCCCTCCTTATCTGTAGGTTCTACATCCTTGGATTCAACCAATCACCAAACAAAAATACAAAAATTGAATATACACTGAACATGTACAGACTTTTTGTCCTCATTCCTTAAATGATACAGTAAAATAACTATTTACATAGCATCAGTTGTGGTGGTACAAACAAACCTGTAATCCAAGCACTTGGGAGGCCAAGGCAGGAGGATCGCCATGAGTTCGAGACCAGCCTGAAATACGTACTGAGACCCTGTCTCAAAAACAAACAAACAAATCCATAGCATTCATATTGTATTGGGTATTTTAAGTCCTAGAGATGATGTAAAGTACACAGGAGGATGTGTTAGGTTCTGTGCAAACATTACGCTATTTCATGTTAAGGAACTTGAGGATTTCGGTATCCAGGTTAGGGAATGTGGTGATGGCCACAACTAATCCCCTGAGGATACCCAGGGATGACCTGGGGAGAAAAGTCACAAGTTTTGTTAAGTTAGAAAGTTTAGATTTCCAAGAGGGTACTTCTGGGACCACGAGGCAAGTGAGGCACGAGGTTGTAAAATGTAAGGAGATGGGTAGTCCAAGATATTCAACTTGTGCCTCTCTGAATTTTATGCCAATGCTTCATTAACATCGCAATTGCAGAAGACTTGGGGGAGGATGGAGAGATAAATTTTGAATTATGATGTCCCTTAAATAGTTCAAGTCTGGCAGGGCGTAGTGGAGCACCCCTGTAATCCCAGCACTCGGGAGGCCGAAGCAGGAGGATTGCTGCAAGTTTGAGGCCAGCCTGGGCTACATAGTAAGTTCAAGGCCAGCCTGAACTACATAGTGAGACCTTATCTCAAAATAAAACAAAAAACATAAGACAACAACAACAAAACCCAAAAATAGTTCAAGTCTCCTAGGAGGTGCAGCTCAGTGGTAGAGCACTTGCGTAACATTCGCAAAGCTCTAGGTTCAATATGCAGCTCTGGAAAAAAGAAAGTTCTAGCTTATTTTCTTAATCTGCAAAATGATGTAATGTAATATCTTTTGAAATGAATAATTTTTTTGCATGGTTGCACTTAGGTGCCAATTTATGAGAAGATAGCTGTGGAAGTTGAAGGGACCACTGCTTCAATCAAAAGTAATTTTAAAATGGCCGATCACTTCTCCTTGAATGAAGAACAAAAACCAGAACTACCGAAGCAGCATGAGAGAGAATCCAATCAGAGGCACAAACATGACGAAGATGATGAGCTGATCTTTGTTGGGATGGAACACGTAAGAGAAGATTCGGACATTCTCTTCGTCAAGATGATTTCAAATTCAAAGCCAGTCATTTCAAACATTTTGAACAGAGTCACCCCAGGCTCATATTCAAAAAGAAAGAGAGGCCACCTCAGTCAAGATCCCACTCCCGAGTCTCATCCGGGATTTCATGTGACCCCAACAGCCAAAGCAATGGCTGCCATGCCAAATTCTCAGTCTGAATGGGGATCAAGAGATAGTCCCATTACTACTGAATCTTCCTACAAACTTGCCTATAAAATGAGCTCACCAGAAGTCATGCCTCCTCGAGATTCAAAGCAACTTTCCTCTGCTGATAAAACCAGTAGAAATCCCAAAAGATCAAAACTCAGGAATGAAATCCCTAGTGTATATTCTTCAACCACGACCCCTTCCAGTGTCTCTCCTCTGATGTACACAGGTACACCATCGAAAAGCATCTGCTCGCCAAGCACTGTTCAGAATGGAACCTCCTTTCCTCGGACTCATGCTAACGAAAAGGTACCTTTTGTTCTCGGGGATCCAGACCCAGAAAATAGCTCTGAAGCTTTGGTAAAAACAGGCATATCACATCCAACAGGTCAAAACAAGACCTTTGATCCCAAGACAGGAAGTCTGATCCTGTTGCTTAGTGACTTTTACTATGGGCATCATAAGGGAGATGGGCAGCCAGCACCGAAGACTCACTCAACCTTTAAATGCCTCAGCTGCTTGAAAGTTCTGAAAAATATTAAGTTTATGAATCACATGAAGCACCATTTCGAACTTGAGAAGCAGAGAGGTGACAGCTGGGAAAACCACACCACCTGCCAGCACTGCTATCGGCAGTTTCCCACTCCCTTCCAGCTGCAGTGTCACATCGACAGGGTGCACACTACCCAGGAGCCCGCTGCTGTCTGTAAAATCTGTGAGTTGTCATTTGAAACTGATCAGGTTCTCTTACAACACATGAAGGACAGTCATAAGCCTGGAGAAATGCCCTATGTGTGCCAGCTTTGCAATTATAGATCATCGGCCTTTGGTGACGTGGAAACACATTTTAGAACATGCCATGAAAACACGAAGGATTTGCTTTGTCTGTTTTGTCTTAAAATTTTCAAAACTGCAAATTCATACATGAATCATTGTTGGAGACACTGGAGCAAGAAGAGGGTTTTTCCGTGCTCCAAGTGCCGGCTACAGTTTTTGAGTTTGAAGGAGGAAATAGAGCACAAAAGCAAAGATCATCAAACATTTAAAAAACCAGAGCCACTGGAAGGGTTGCCTCCCAGAACGGAGGTTATTATTCAAACTTCAGTTCACTCCAGTGGTACAGAATCTATTATGGTGGGCAACATTGACTTTGGCCTGTCTCCTATAAAAACCAAAAAGAGGAAAAACTCTAGATATTCCAGAGTCCTTTGTAGCCAGGGTTCTGGCTAAATATATGTTTTCCCCACTTCCATGGATTCTAAAAGGCAGATACAAAGCTAGGCCATCTGCATGTCATGACTCATGCTAGCATGCCATGTCCGAGTTTACAGTGACATCTCTATCTCCCTACTCGAAAGAGGCAGTTCAGAAATCTTCATGCCCTTTCTTTACTCAAACGCCTGTACAGAAGTAAACACTACTCTGATCTTTATCATCAGAGATTAAGTTTTACTGTTTTTAAACTTCAAATAAATGTGTTAAATTGCTTTAAAGGGAATCAACATTCTTGTCTTTGACTCTATTTACTATAAATCAGAACCACCACTACCACCCCCCATACTGAGGATTGAACCCAGGACTTTCACACTGAGCTGCATTCCAAGCCATTTTAAGTTTTGAGACGGGTCTTACTAAGTTGCCCAGACTGGGCTCAAGATTCTGATCCTCCGGCCTCACCCTCCCAGAGTGCCTGGATTACAGATGTGAGCCACCATGTCCAGCTTGTGAGGTGCATTCTTGCTGTATGCTGCAATTGTGCATACTTTTTCACTGTTGGGTAGAATTCCACTGACTGAATATGACACAGTTTTCACTTTCCCACTGATGGACTTTGGGGCTGATTTTTTGGCTATTTAGAATAAAGCTACTATTGATAGCGGGAAAATAACTCTCAACCTGTTAGATGTCAGATGTGCTGAGTTCATGATCTACTATCAAGGGATGAAGTCACAAACCAAAAGAGGAAATTGGGAGCGTTGTATTGGAAATAAGAATAGCTTCTAGGTTTCTGGGAGGGGTCATGAGTGGGTGGCTGCTAAGGCTCTTTCTCAGGGGTAATTTATACAGCAAAATCACAATGTAGGTACAACATAGGTCAAACTACAACCTGTAGGATTACAAGTATGGTCACTTAGCTAACATTGATCCCATAGGGAGATGAGTCAGGTGGGTAGGGTAAAGGCATTTTTTTTTAAAGGAATGATTCCAGATGTCCTGGTCCCCCCCACCCGCTATGTGTCTGATGCCTATCTAGGCCCACTGAACCAGATGGCGCTAGTTACCCTATAATCTCAAATTGCTGTTCATCTCTAAGGAGACTTGTAGGCCTGGCTACTGCATCTCCATCTTCAGGCCTAGACCTCTCCCTTTCTTTTTGTACCTGGGATCAATGTTGGCACCTTGAGCTTACTGAGCTAAATCCCCAGCCTGGATCTCTAGATTCCCTTTCCAGCTACAATCTTTGAGTGTCTCTTCTCCTGGCTGACTTCTTCGAGGGCCCAATCCCTGTCTGACTGCATATTAATTTCTCACTTAGCTGTCTTGCGTAAGTTTTCTGATAGACACACTTAATCATTTGGATAGCTGTTGTAAGAAGTGCTGGAGTTGCATCTATTCAGCTTTTTTTAGTGTAGATTCTGCCAAAAAGTTTTCAGAAGTCATTAAAATAATTTAAATGTACACAACTGATACTGAGAATTCCACTGCTACAGATCCAACACGTGGTACTGTAAGTCCTTTCAATTAGTGCCCTTTTTCTTAGCGTTGCAGTGGTATCACATTATGGCTTTAGTTTGCATTTCTCTGATGGGCTAAATATCCCCTGGGGGTTGCGAGTCCGATATCGGCCCGCGCCCTGGTTGGCCCTAGATCTATGATGGCTTAAACCCCTTCTAGGGTCCTAGGGGCATCTCGCTGCCCCGGCCCCTCAGCCTGACACCTGGCCCTGCAGTCACCACCAGGGGCGACAATGCGCGCATGCGCCTACCCGCCGCCCGTGCCCCCGCTCCTGGCAGC